CCTGGAATGACAACAACTTTAACATCACTGAAAGCATTGATCTGCCCTTCAGGAATGCTATTTACATTTCAGTGGGTAGAAACTTGGACTGATAGAAGGATGGTTTTCCTTATGGATATTTATAGCACCAATAATGATTTCTCTTTGGATTGAATATCTCTTTATCATTCAATGCTTGACTGGAAATAGATTCAAAATTTTAATAATAAATGTATCAAGTTCTTGTTGAAAAAAGCTCATATTAAATTTATTTATTACAATAAAATAAATTTTTGTAAAATTTGTTATCTCTCTTCTCTCATAATAAGAGTGTCTGCCTTGTTTTTTGAGAAAATTATTTGTAATTGATAGTTAAATTTTTATAAAAATATATGTGCTATCTCAGGTAGAACAGCACACTTTTATGTACAGATATGAAAAAACTTGAATTTCACACTTCTTGTAATAAAATTGTTTAAGACGCTAAGGTATGCTATTTGCAGTGGGCTGGAGTCCATAGATATTGGAGTCCATGAATAGGAGAAATTACAGCAATTAAGATATTTTCACTATCTTCTGTCAGATGCCAAAATAACTTTCTGGTCTTGATTTTGGTTCTCTTAAAAGTTGGGGCAGTGTTACCAGTGAGCTTATATCCATTTAAAGGAAACATTTAACTTTACGGTTAGTAACTTCCTTAACAGAAAAACTAAAGAAGTACTACTTTGAAACATGATTGTGGATGATCTTAGTATATGAATTAAAAGAAACGAGAATCCAGGCATACTCATGGGACCTGAGGTTAGTTCATGACAACATTCAGAACACAGGCTGAGGCAGACAAACTGGTACGAGTGGTCAGTGAAACCATGAATTAGCATTCCAGATCATTGGAAGAAATGTCGGGCAGGACCCACTGATTTAAACCCTGGGAAATTCAGAACGTTGGACAGTTCCTAAAGACAGGCATGCTTCCAGGTAGAGTACTTAACCTTCAGGTCAGCGTTTTTCAACCGCTGTTCCGCGGCACACTAGAGATGTTGCCTGGTGTGCAGTAGGTGCAGACAAGACAAGAATTTTATAATTTTTCACTATTTTGTTTACTTAATATTTCATAATAAAGTAATTATAAAATACTTTCTTTGTGTTTATTTGATTCCTATTCAAGAGAATTACTTTATATATAGTCAATATAGGCACAGAGTTAAATTTTTTAACATTTTCTAATGGTGGTGTGCCTCGTGATTTTTTCATGAAACAAGTGTGCCTTTGCCCAAAAAAGGTTGAAAAACACTGCTTTAGGTAACCAGACCTACTCATTTAATGCTACCTCTTGGTGTCTCACTTATACCTGCATGTGACCTTAATCCCAAAGGAATTATCTCATTCACCCAAAGAACTCTGTGGTCTGTGTTTCACATGAGTTTACAACTTCAGTCCTGGCATGATGGTTCATAATGTGCATGCTACCTGGGGTTATGACAGGCTTGCCACTGGGCCTTGTTCTATTAACTTACTTTAAAAATTAACTGAATATAAAAAGGTGAAAAAATGATCATCCAAGTTAAGGAAAAGAGTCTCTTTACCCATACCTGATGATACTTCAGAGCCAAGGCCTCTGGGCTATTTACATGCAAGACCATTCAGCAGCTGTTTTATAGCAAGCTGAAATAAAGTGTTCAGCCTGGGTCAGGGGTTGGTGGTGCAGAGAAAGGCTTTAAGAATCTGCTGAAGTTCTGCCTAGGGCCACGTGGCATAACTGTAGATGGTAACTCACGCACGTTAAGGTCTTCCCTGCAGCCTCTGGTAAGTAAGGGAATGGCTCCGTTGGAGCGAGGACTTTGAGTCAATTTCTGCAAGGGATAACTGCAATTCAAGATGGTCTATCTGATTTTTAATCAAAGACCAAATGCCATTTTAGCTACATCTGTTACCAAGATTAAAATTAGCAATGCAACAAAATGTATACATATGAAAATGCTTAAAAGAATACATTCTTCTTCATAACTACTTTTCTGATTAGTGTTTTCTGTTCTGAAACTCAATGGTGAGATGAAGTACAGAAAAATCGTAAGAATGGTTTTCTCAGTTATGAGCAACATAACCAGATATTTTATCTACCGTAGGTCTTTTTTCACCTTTGCTAATGAAAAATGAATGGATGCCCAGTTCCCAAAAAGAAATACTCCAAGTTGGCAAGCATTATAGGTAAGAAGAAGCAGGGGATTTCCTCCTACCTCCAGTTGCATTAGCAGCTTTGCTGTTTTATTTTATTTATTTATTTTTATTGTGGGTTGGAATCAGTCTTAAGAACCCCACATGGTTCACAAGTCTGTTACTCTGATGCTTAGAGTAACTCAATACCTTCTTTCTTTCTTTCTTTTTTTTTTTTTTTTGTGGATTCACAGGTATTACAGACTTATTTTATTGTCTTTTGATGGCTTTAAAGAGTACTAAGAAGTCATGAGAATATTCCAGTAGTAGGAGAGAAGGGAGCAATGACCCTACTGCTGCAGAAGGAAGAACATAGAACTGTGATTTTATTGAAGAAATCTTATGAAAGATTGATATCATGAAGAGGTGACAAATATAAAAGTTCTAGGGTATTTGTTTAGTTGAGTAACACATGATTGTTATTCTTTAAAGTATGAGAGCACCAAAGTAGATAAGGTTTCCCTTGACAAATAATACATTAAAGGTTAGTCAATCTAGAGCTTAGGATCAATTAATTCTGAAGGAGTAGCAGTAATTTTTAAAAAATATTTTATTGATTTTTTTTTTTTTACAGAGAGGAAGAGAGAGGAATAGAGAGTTAGAAACATCGATGAGAGAGAATCATAGATCAGCTGCCTCTTGCATACCCTCTACTGGGATGTGCCCACAACCAAGGTACATGCCCTTGACCAGAATCAAACCCAGGACCTTTCAGTCCGCAGGCCGATGCTCTATCCACTGAGCCAAAGCGGTTTCGGCAGTAGCAGTAATTTTTATTAGATATCAAGTCCACTAGTTTCCCAATTATAATTGTAGGAAAATGTGGAGATTCTGAGATTGGAGAATGTGCCCTAGGTGTCCATCCAGATAGTTATGTAACCTGAGAAAAGAGCCTTTTATTTATCCAAGTACATAATGTGTAAATAATAATATTGATTCCCCAAAGTCATGTATGTAACTCAGCCTTGTTACTTAATGATCAGCTCTGGGCATGCAGAGGTAATTAAAATTGGCACCAAATTGAGCAAAGTACTGTCAATGCTGAAAAGAACTCTGAAGAAGATTTAGGACAAATCAGTCTGGGGCTCATAAATGTGTGGTTTCAGGATATGTCTCCAAAAATTCAACTGGAATCTAAAATTTAAGCTAGATTATATATTTAAATATATTAATATTAAATTTCATGACATCTAATTCATCATGAGAATATTATAATGAATTTAAAATGGATATTTTATTTAATATTTTCACCTTTAATACAGTTAATACAGTTTTTATTTTTAAAACCAGAGAAAAGGTCATATTGTTAATCATTCTACTCTTGGCATGCTTCTGTTTGTTAAGACATCAGTTCTTTGCTATGCACATATTATATTTAGCTAAGGTAATTAGATGTAATACATTAAAATTGCAAATATGCAGCCTAATGAATGCCACTAAATAATGTTGCAAACCCCATAGGAAAATACACTATAAAACTTACTGTTTATTACTGACTTCTTCATATAATGACTTTCTATAAGTTAGACCATTGTTTTTCAGACATAATTTAAAGCAGGCTTATATGATTAACACAACTTCTTATTTAAAATATTTAAAATACTTTCAATTAGTCTCCACTATCATTTATTTTTGACAATGTGAAGAAGAAACAAGACTTATGTATAAAACCGTTTTCTCTCTGTTGGTATTTTTTGCCTATATAATGTAATTTGTCAATAAACAACTAAATGTCTCAGCCTAAACTGTCTGAGGAGTGTGAAGTAAAAAAAAAAAAAAAAAAAAGAGGTTTTAATACTTTAGCAACTTAAAAATATTGAGTTCTTAAATAATTATAGTCTACTAGACATCTGAAGGTAAATGAAGGAGGTAGTGCAGACCGTAACTACTCACAAACACAGCTTATTTGCTGATGGTATACCTCAGATATTTTATGGGCTAAGCAAGAGTGCACATGTTATGCGTTTTGTTTATAATATCACTCACTATTAATTGCAGTTAATAATTCATATAAATATAATTTACACATATAAGAACTGTAAAGATGGAATGAAAGTATTACTTTTCCAGTTCTATTATTTTAAAATCTCATACATACACAGACACACAATTTCATTAGAGATAAACTACATGCATGTAGATGTTACTTAAATGTATAAATTTGTTATGTGTTATTTATTTGTATGTTTCAATTCCATCATTCCCCTTTTACATCTAAGTCTACTGAGAGCCGGAGATACTATCTAGATTACATAATTCTATGTGGGTAAATAATAAGGCAGATTGTGGTTCATGTTACAGAGGTCTTTCCATGGAAACCTACTTCCCACATTCAAGGTTTCAATTTCATATGTTGTTCATGTTTGACTCAGCTACACACGGGGACCTGCGATTGTGCTTGGAGTGGATCCACAGTATCATATTTCCCCCTGGGAAGTGAAGACCAGGGAGGTGAAATAACTGGAGAAAACTGGAGAGATCATGGCAGTACTTGAACTCAACTGAGCCCTGTGCAATTTCAGTTGCTACCTAGATATGAAGATAATTTATCTGCAAGATCACAGCGTCGCCTCAGGAGGAAATCACAGATACTTCAGTGGATATACACATACACATTGCTCTTGGCATCTGAAGAGTAGCATTAATTCAGATTAATTAGCCTTCCTTTAGGAAATAGATTTTCTAAAATGACCTTATGAAAGCTTTCAATCCCACAACAGTAGCACATTGGTAACCTGATTTTTAGTGTATTTGAGAGGAAAAACTAATGCAACAAGGAATAGATATAGCAGTAGAGTTATGCTTACCTTCGTAAGTCCCACTTTCTAGGAGAGCACCACTTTTCTCTAATTCCATAAAATCTTCGACAGTGATGAAGATATAGTCCACTCCGGGGACCTCACCCTCCTTATGTGGCCTTGTAGTGCCTGAATAAGGAAAATTAAAAATGAAAGACTTTAAGTGGTGTATTGTTGAACTTTAGAAATACCAGCATACTTCTGAATATTTAAGAACACTTGTTTGTACATCCTGCTAGCTCGCAATTTGCATGTGTCCTTCTATTTGTTTGAAAACCGAAAAGATCAGGGGTTAAAGATTAAAGTAAATATACAAAGCATTTTTCTTCATCACATGTGTAAAGAGTCCATTGCTTTGAAATGTGGCTGCAAGAATTTTTCAGTGAAAAAAAATGCAGACCATTGTGCATTTTTTGAAGAGGTGGTTTGAATGCTGGGCCAGGAGCCTGCTAGCTCTGGAATTTACATATCTCATTTCCATGAATGGAACTCCGTTGTTCTGTAAACTGCTTTGCTATGACATAAAATACAATAGAAAACAGAAATTTTAGCAAAATGTCAATTTTCAGGAAATGGGACTGTTTTCTCTTGTTAATTTTGCACCAAATAACTTATATGTCATCGAAAGGATCACAAAAATCATTGTTCCTTAAAATTAAATAATAATTAGAATTTAGTCATAATTACATTTGGGTTAGTGTTTTAATGCTCATAACACTATCTCCTTCCTTCCTTTCTTCCTTTCTTCCTTCCTTTCTTCCTTCCTTCCTGCCTGCCTGCCTTCCTTCCTTCCTCCCTCCCTTCCTTTTTTCCTTCCTTCCTTCATTATTGCCTTTCATTCTGACTGAACTGAGAGGTGACATGCTCCCAGAGGTTACTGCATGGGTCCGATACTCCTGTTTCTGGATCACCGATAAAGTGAATGGAGCATATGTGGGCAGCTGACAGGATGGACAGCCTGTGGTAGCTCAGGACAGCTTCACTGGAGAACACCAGCTTCCAGACCTGATTTCCAGTTCAAGCAGCAGGAAGCAAAATGCAGACTTAGTAAAGGCTGTGGGTTTGTTTCCTGGCACACTTCCTTCCTTAAACATCCCCTAAGCTTCTTCTTTTCTTTTTCTATGCCACCTACATAAGACATTTTGCATAGTCAGGCTGGAATTTGCACAACACATACCTGAGAATAGTATGCAGAAGGCAAATGTATAAGTACATTGGCAGTATTTTACTAAAATCTCTGCCATATTCTCTATATATAATACTAACCAGTAGTTGGCAAACTGTGGCTCTCAAGCCACATGTGGCTCTCGAGCCGCGGTTTGCCGCTCTGTTGACTAATGAGTTTGCCGACCACTGGGATAGGGGCTTAATCACAAGGAACAACAACAGTCTGTAATTATTGGAATCGAGAGTCTAACTAAACAAAAAGCATTTCAAACCCTTAATTTTTAGTTCCACTCTCCAAAACCTTTATCAATTAAACCATGAAAATAGCCAGTAAGTTTTCCTTTTGCTCTGTTAGAATCAAACCTGAACTGCAATTGAGAGGCATTGACTAATGTCAGAATATGCAACGTGCTAAGGAAAATTGATTCATGGCAAAAATTATTAATTTTCATTGAAACTGGTTTTCAAAGATTTGAAGGCGTTTCTTTTTTTCCATAATCATGTTTAATGACTTTCCCCTGAATTTGTTTTTTAATTTGTTTAACTGAGTCACATTTTGCAACATTCCCTACTGTTTTATGCTATTAAATATAAACCTCCCACACTGAGTATGCATAATGTTGTCAAATTAATGTTTCTATGAGAACCTTCACTTTTAATATCCTGACTTTTATGTGTTTAACCCTTGTGAATTAAAAGTGCTTATCGTGGTTTTGGGCAATCAATTTGTTTTTTTTCTTTATTTAGAACACACTCTAATCATTAAGAAAAATCATATAGCAAAGTTTCAATTTTCCTTCCTAATTTATCTGTGTATTTCAGAAGCTGCGTGCTTTGATTAATTAACTTCTTGCAGTGCGATAACACAATGTGAGCACAGGACCGCATGCTTGAGGGCAGTTTCCAGGGTTGCTGACTTGACTGGAGTTACTCCTGGCACTAAATTCTAGGGAACACATAAGTGGTTGTGCTCTTGTTGGGAGGACCATCCGTACTGTGGCTCATTGGGTGGTTTTCCCTCTTTACCTTGTATCTTGAGGCCACGTGACTGAGTTCCTGCCTTGGAGAAAGATTCCCAGTGGTTGCATCAATGTCACCAGTGTCTGTTGACCTGCTTGATGTTGGCTGCCTATTTGATCTATTTCATTATTGTTTGAAGAACTTCTACACTGTGATTTCAAATGCTGCAATTATTGCTTTAATATTCATCTTCCATCCTCTTTCTCATTTTGTTCTTCTTTCTATTTAAAACCTCCAGTCTCTTAAACTCTCCAGATATTCCCCAAAGTTGGCTTCCTTTGCCTCTCTAACTACTAAGTGACTGAGAACAACCTAGAATTTCTTCTTTCTATTAGTTCACCTTCGCCAATTACAGACTCTTAATAAGCCCCCATGTTTATTAGCTATTTCATTCATAATCTGTAGTTGTTACAGAAAACCATACACTTTCACTGATATGTAACCTACAAATTCAGATTATCTACTGTCAGTCTGATTCTACCAATCTGTGGTAATCCTTTTATATGTCTTCTTCCTTCTGTGTCACAATGCCAATGATTTTCTAATACTCAACTTCTTGAACTTTCAGCAGGAGATAATAGTTCATTTTCTTTTTGGTTGAGTAGAATATAATCTGAAATCAAATTTCCCAAATTTTCCTAAGTTTTGCCTCTATTATCTTCATTATCTCACCTTTAATTGGAAACATTCATCTATCTTACTAAAACAAATCCCTTCTCATTTCAAAGTTTAAATTTTTCCCTAATCCTCACCTGAGATTTTTTTCCATTGATTTTTAGAGACAGTGGAAAAGAAGGTGGAGAGAGAGAGAAACATCAATGTGAGAGAGACATGTCGATTGGTTGCTTCCCGCACCTGCTCCAACCCTACAACCTAGGCATATGCCTTTGACCAGGAATTGAACCATCAACCCTTCTATGCTTAGGCCAGTGCTCTAACCATTGTGCACCACCAGCCAAGGGTAATTTCTCTTTTTTATCAAAGTTACATATTCAGATATTTAAAATATTCTACAATTCTACAACCTTAATTATTGAAACTAAATTATAAGCTTACACACACACACACACACACACACACACACACACACACTTTTCTTTTTATCCAGAGACAAACACTTTCAATTCTTCTAGTTGATTCTTTTGATTTACCTGCACACAACCCCCATTTTTAAAGGAAGATGGTACAGCAGAAAGGTTCTTAGAATTGAAATTCAGAATATCTGCATTATTTTTGTTTGAACATTTTATGTATGTGGTCACAAATTTAGTTGATCACCAGCCTTCCTATCATGTAATGAAGTAAATAATATATCTGAAATGTTTTTATGAAAAGTAAAGTCATGAACACTATGGTTTTATCTCCTGTTGCTTCAGTCCTCTTTAATAATGTTAATAGCACTACTAATAATAATACAATTACATTGTTGATAGTACTGGTACTAATAATACAATAACTCTGAAATCTATTATAATCAAAGCTTTACATGAATTCATTTCCATTTAGGCTAACACTTCTTAAAAAGAAAAAAAAATATGATCAAAGACATAGAGAACCCCTTTTATTGTCTGGCTGTAAAGATATATAAGTTGAGATATAAATGTTTTCCTTTGAATTACATACTAATATGTGGGACACCAGGTTTATACTTACAGGGGTCCTTTGTGTCTTGTTGGACTGATAGTTAAGACCAGGAGAGCCTATGGAATAGGTTGCAAGGCTGGGTTTTTACCATTTGTGCAATCATTTGAAAAGAATGAAAATGCTCACAAAACCTGACTACACTACGGGGTCAATTAATTTTAGCCAAAGACACAAGCCCTTCAACAACAAATGTCAAAAAGCTTATTTTAGATTTATGTGTCCAAGAAAAATATATATTAGTTGGTGTTAATTCAATTAGCACCAGAAAGAAAAGGCAATTGGCTAAAGAAGAAAGCAATTGGTGATCTATGACCATTCCTTTGAAAAGAAATGTGATTCTAAAAATCAGGCAAAGAATCCAAAATGTACTGAAGTGCTCACAATGGTTAACATGTAGCTAAAGGTAATTAATATCTAGAAATTGTTCAGCTGAACTTCCTGAAGCAGGTACTGACCTCAGCTTTATGCTAAAATAAGCATAGTTACTTTCCCAATTCAAAAGATTATGAATAGGGAAGTGACTGTCAGATTCAACAGTGATAACAAGTAATCACCCAGCATTAGAAATAGGGTGGAAGCTAGAGAGGATAAAAAGGGAAATACAGAGGACACATCAACAGCTAAATTTGAAGCTTACCTTTCATTGTCCTTCTAAATTTGGCTGAGACTTTCTTGAGTGGTGTTTAGAAAAGTCCAATAAATTTTATTATTCAAATTATGGTTTATGTGCTTCATTCTTTATGTCTTCTGGAATACTCTTCTAAAGGAAAACTTAATAGAGCAGAAATAGAGGAAATGCTACTAAATCGAGTCTTTGTTTTATCTCCTCTTGCTTCATTTCTTTAAAAAACCAAAACTTAATAATTGTTACATTAAGTAGTGCATGAATAGCACCGCCTTCATGAGTTAATAAAAACATACAGTATTTCTGCCCAAAAGACAAGTCTGGAGAGAATGAATTTGCTCCCAAATGGTTAGCTTTATTACTGATACATCGTGATAGCACATGAAGGCCATTTGTCATTTTGTTACCATGGCAACCGAGGATGCCAATGAAATTTTTTATTCTACTGGTTTTTTTTTTAAATGAGGGAACATTGCCTCTATTACCTTAGATGAGAAAGAGTATGGTGTTTGTGGTAAATGTAATTCTAAATACATTTTCCCTGGGCCTTCTAATATTTCCTACTCTTAATAAAAAAACAGTCGCTGACTTACAGGTAAGTGATGGTCAGTGCAGCCATTTATTCTCATCTGTGTTGATGTGCTGACAGTTCGACAGTGCCCGCTGCTTCGCA